AAAAAAAAAAAAAAAAAAAAAAAAGACATGATATCATTGTTTTGTAGACCATATAAAGCACAACCAACTTTTTATTTATTTAATTTGTAAGTGTTCGCTACGACTCTCTAAAATGATATGATATTGTCCACTTTGAGCATAAACTTTCGTGGTTTTGCTTTTGGGGTCTCCAAAAGGTCTCATACCAATGGAGATGATGATTCCCTTAATTAGCCGACGTGGGACTCTCTCCCAACAATCCTCAACAATCCTGCCTTCGAACAAAGTACACCATAGAGCCTCCCTTGCGGCCTATGGAGCTCTCGAATAGCCTCTCCTTAATTGAGGCTCGACTCCTTTCTCTGGAGCTCTCAAATAAAGTACACCTTTTGTTCGACACTTGAGTCACTTTTTGACTACATCTTCGAGGCTCACAACTTCTTTGTTCGACATTTGAGGATTCTATTGACATGGATACGTTTAGTATATGACTCTGATATCATGCTAAGAATTACGACTCTCCACAATGGTATGATATCGTCCAATTTGAGCATAAACTCTCATAGTTTTGCAGATGGCAAGAAAACTTTGTATAACACAAAATCTTAGTCATCATAGCTTCAACCCATTCTCTAAGAAATATGCGCTAAATAAACCATTCAAAGTTCAAACTCTATATGGTTAATACGAAAGAGAAACAAAATGCAGGCGTATTTCCAATAACAATAGTCATTAGCAACTTGGTTCAATAGTAGCCAAACTTTCAAAAGCTCCCAAGTTGATACCCGGTCTTCCTTCTTCATATATACCATGCTACAGAGAACATTAACCTTGAGTTCAAACAAGTAAGGAAAAAAAAACCATTGCAAAACTGTCTGTAACGGTCCAAGCCACCACCAGTAGATATTGTCCTCTTTAGACTTTCCTTTTCAAGCTTCCCATGGGGATCTCACAATCCACCCCCTTTGAGACTCAACGTCCTCGCTGGCACTCGTTCCTCTCTCAAACTGAAGGGGGTGGATTATGAGATCCCACGTCAGTTGGGGCGAAGAATGAAACATTCTTTAAATGGGTGTGGAAACCTCTCCCTAGCACACGCGTTTTAAAAACTTTGAGGAGATGCCTGAAAGGGGAAGCCTAAAGTGAACAACACCTACTAACGGTAGGTTGGGAGCTTGGACAATTACACTTCCACTAGCTTTAAACCAACCAAGAACGTGCAAGCAAATTCATGAGACAAAAAACATAACAAGACAAGACAAACTTACCATCAGAAGGCTCTGTGGTTTCAGCACCAGCAAGGAGCAAGGAGGAGCAAAACCATAGCAGAAAAACACACACACAATCCTTCCCCATCAGGTCACAAACAGCATCACAAGCAAACAAACGAACACCTACCCATTTTCAAACCATAAGCCACAATCACAAACACCCAATCACATTCAAGAAATTCCACTCAAAACCCATCAAAGAAATCAACCAAACTCACAGAATTGAAAGAGTTAAACGGCAAACAATCAATACCTGTGGGAGAATGAAGCAGAGCGAGGTGGAAGAAATGGGTTCGTGAGAAACCCAAATAAGAAATAAGAAGAAGAAGAAGAAGAAGAATGAATTGGATGTGGTGAAGAAGAAGGAGAATGAGATTGAAATGGGTATAAATGGTGAAAGGGGACAGAAGGCATCGCGGGGTCAGAGTGGAGGAGGTTTAGTTGGCGCTTCCAATTTACTAATATTTTTGGCTTTTCCTTCACACCCATTGACAGCAACAACATTACAGACTCCCTCTCTCTCTTGCGGAGGTTGGTTGACTTTTCAAAACCTCAACGATGATGTAAACTCCACGCGCTATTCCGAGAGTGGGCTTATTATATGAAACAATCAAAATATCATTTTTGTTTACATGTTCTATCAAAATCAATTTTTATAAATTTTTAATTTCATGGAATTCGACTTTAAACTTGGAAAAACGTTTAAAAACCATTATTAAAAGACTCATTAATATTTAATGAAAATGAAACCATAGTTGGATGATAAAAGTCTCACATCGGCTAATTTAGGGAATGATCATGGGTTTATAAGTGAGGAATAGTAACTCCATTAGTGTGAGGTGTCTTGGGAACGCTAAAGCAAAGCCATGAGAGCTTATGTTCAAAGTGGACAATATCATACTATGGTGGAGAGTTATATTCGTCTAACAACAACACACAAATTCTAGTCAAATAGGCAACACATTTCAAAATTTTACCTCACAATTAAATGAAATTGAAACCGGAGACAAGACTATATTAATGTTTACATTTGGCAAAAGAAATTATATTAGAAAATATAATTTATGTTGTAAAATTATTTGTAAAGATATTTTAAAATTATAATAGAGTTGTTTGATTATGTTTGTACTTTTTAAAATAAAAAAAAAAAAAAAAAGTCATGTTTATTTAATATTTTTTTCACCTTGAAATCTTTTATTAAATATTTTTATAATTTTTTTTATCCTAAAATGTTTCTAATATTTTGTATTTATTTAAAAAGAAAGCACAACATATATATATATATATATATATATATATATATATAACTCATATTAATAGTTTATTTTTTATTTTTTATTTATAAACTATCTTTTAAAATTTTTAATTACCAATTCTTTTATTTTTTAAATCAAGTTGTAAATTTTGAATAAATAATAAACATATAGATGTTTTACGAATTAATATTTTATTTTTATTATAAACAAAAAAAATTAAATAAAAAACGTGAACCATCGGAACTAATCCAATCCAAAAAATTTATGATTGGGTTCATTATTTAATAGAGATATTTGTGCTTTTTTTTTTTTTTTGTTAAGAAATTTATAGCTCGGACAGTCGTGTTGAGTCTATAAAATGTCATCACAAATTTCATGTTGGCCTAAGTACTATGTGAAAGCTAACTCTATTGTGACTACCCGGCATGTATCTGTTGGATGATGAAAGTCCCACATCGGCTAATTTAGGGAATGATCATGGGTTTATAAGTGAGGAATACTAACTTCATTGGTTTGAGGCCTTTTGGGAAGCCCAAAGCAGAGTCATGAGAGCTTATGCTCAAAGTAGACAATATCATACCATTGTAGAGAGTCGTGTTCGTCTAACATGATATCAGAGTCATGCCCTAAACTTAGTCGTGCCAATAGATTGGCAAATCCTCAAATGTCGAACAAAGGACTCCAAAAAGAAAAAAGGAGTCAAGTCGTGCCAATAGATTGGCAAATCCTCAAATGTCGAACAAAGGACTCCAAAAAGAAAAAAGGAGTCAAGCCTCCTCGAAGGTACGAAGGCAGTCAAAAATGACTAAGACTTCAAAGGAGTCGAGCCTCGATTAAGGGGAGGTGTTGGATGATGAAAGTCCCACATTGGAAAAAAGGAGTCAAGTCTCCTCGAAGGTACGAAGGCAGTAAAAAATGACTAAGACTCCAAAGGAGTCGAGCCTTGATTAAGGGGAGGCGTGCTTTGGGGGAGGTGTTGGATGATGAAAGTCCCACATTGGAAAAAAGGAGTCAAGTCTCCTCGAAGGTACGAAGGCAGTCAAAAATGACTAAGACTCCAAAGGAGTCGAGCCTTGATTAAGGGGAGACGTGCTTTGTTCGAGGGGAGGTGTTGGATGATGAAAGTCCCACATCGGCTAGTTTAGGGAATGATCATGGGTTTATAAGTGATGGTTTGAGGCTTCTCTCATGAGAGCTTATGCTCAAAATGGATAATATCATACTATTGTAGAGAGTCGTGTTCGTCTAACAGTATCAATCATTAAATATTTTATGACGTATTTATTATTATCCAAATCTAATCTTAACTACCACCAAACATATTAAATAATTTGCTAATTAAAATTTAATCAAAGTGTCGTATTTCATTTTTCAACTCTCTTAGTTAATACAAAGATAATGCATTAAATATTGATTACCTATTTATTGGAAGAACTTTGTTAGGGCTCCTCCAATGATTTGAATTCCCTTCCATTTACGACGTTTATAACGTGTCATTTTTTTTCTTAGTTTTTATAGCGATGGTCGCAGGTTCGAATCCTACTTCAAGAGATTTTATCATCCCAAATTAGAATTCGGAATGGAAGGGTTCAATTTGACCGTTAAGAGTAGGTAACTCATTCCCTATATCTTTGTTTATATTAGCTATTCTACTAATACTTGTACTCGCTCCGCTATTCTACTGAACCCTAGCTAAGGAAGAAGGAAGAATTACGGGTTGGGTATACTATATTTAATATATAACGAAATATGTGAGGTTCGTGTGTCAAACTAGACATAACTCAATTGGTTGAGACATAACTCACCGGTTTACTAATTAACGATTTGGATCAAGTCATTTATAACAACTACAAAGTGAGCCACATTAATAGTATCATCAGGATAAAACACCCAACATTATCTATATACTATAAGCTCTTTAGATTATTACTCGAACATGAAAGTGAGTCATATCAATAGTGCTACTCGGATAATACTATAACTTTTTTAGGCTACTACTCGAACATTATACTTTTGTATATTAACTACGTACTGTTTAATATTACATTAATAACTTTGGACTTGTCATACCATAGATGATATTAAATTGTAAATAAAATAATTAGAACTATATTAAAAATTAAATAATTAATTACGAAGCTTCCAGACATAAATATGAACAAATAAGTTAACCCAGATGGAGGTTAATAATATTAAGGGCAAAATTGGACAAATAAACATTAAAATTAACTCGAGAATAGAGGGTTGGGTTGGGAAAACTTTCGGGTTGGGATGGGTTACTAATCAAACCAACCCGAACTTTTGTGTTGAGTCAAAAAAAATTCACCAAAAATTTAAATGTAAAGAAAAAAATCAACCCGTCGTTTTCAATCAATACAGTTCCTGTGTAACTTATTTAATACTTAGATTATAATCAAGTAGTCAATTCATTCGAGCTCATTCGTACATGTACAAACTAATTCAATGCGATGAAGATTTGATAGAATGGAAGGGTTCGTGGGGAACGTTTCTTCAAAGCTATTAAAAAAGTTGGCGTGAGCCGCATGCGGGGAGACCCGCACGTACGATTTTTAGGGGGAGCTGAGCATCTGATATTCGCTGGGATCAAGCTTTTCCCCCGTTCTACCGTCCAAAACATGCCGGCTTCTCTGTTCTTTCCTGAACCAGATTGAACTGGGGTGGAACTATTAACTATTCTTTGACTCGGTAAAGCAAGGACTAAGTTTAAGTAGCTCTTGTCGACCCGACTCGTTTGGCTTCTATCTTCTGGCTTTCCTTTGAGTGAGAGTTATACCTACCACTTGATTGAGTTATGAGGATAAGTAAGAATGGAATGAGTTTCGGGCGAGCAGAGTTATAGCAATTTCACTCTTTTCCTAAAGGTTGGTTATTCCTCAGCTCAGACCTCTCTAAGACAAGACCGGATTTTTCACATGCAGTTGGTGTTGGGGGATAGATAAAGGGCATAACATTAGGGTCAGTCACATTGTTGAATGTCTCGGGCCCGATTTAGGGAAAGTGAGAGATTAAGAAGTTTTTCAATATAATTACTTTACCCTAATGATCAATATTATTTATTTTAGAAGAAATGTAAGAAAATGACAAAAAAGGGATCCATTGACTATTGTTATATTATATTCAACCAAAACCCAAGAAAGCAAACTGAGGGCAGTTTGGTCATTATCTTCAAACAATTTTCCAATTTCAAATATAAAAGTACTTAAAAGTACATAAGATTTGATACATATAGACTAATTTGTAATTATAAAATAAAATAATTATTAAGACCTCATCGATCCGTGTTAAAAAACCGTTGATTAAGTTTCACGCTGTTTTCAAAGTCACTAGTGGAGCGGATCGTATATTATATTTTCTCAGCTTAATTTTTTAAGTTTAGTGGTGATTTATCAACTTGTGTAAGTCGGAAATAATTTGATTTATGACTTGGACAAGACGTTTTGCCTAGTGTCGGTATTTTGCATTCGAAGAAACGACAATTGTAAAAATTAATACATTGAATAAAAGACCGCTTCGTAAACCCTAAATTTGCCTAATTTTTCTCTTTTTTTCATGTATTTCAAATAATAATTTTTGTACCGCATAATTTTCTATTTATTTTAATTTAAATATTTATTAGACAATTGAAATGAACCAAATAATGGATCGGTATATTTGAATGATAGTTAATAGATAACGAGATACTTCAATTACACACTCCTAATACTAAAAATTGACTTAGAAGTTGACGGTTTTCAAAATTTAGCTAATTTTACGTACATATAAGAAGATCATCTATCCATTTTGGAGTTAACGAACAACAATTAAACTACACGTCCTTTGATACCGAAAGTTGACTCAAATATTACTTTAACTATTTAGAATTCCCAAAATATCTTTAGGAAAACCTTGATTGAGTGGCCATTTTGCTTCCAACAAATATTCATTGGCACATTACCAAAAATTATAGTCTTACCACTTTTTAACAAGACAATATTATAGTTAGGACACAAACAAGACTGCGAGATTGCGAGATTTCACACGGGTTGGAAAATTGTTACAACTGATATCAAAGCTAGACATCGAACGGTGTGCCAGCGAGAATATTGAACCCTAAAAAGGGGTGGATACTGGGCGGTGTACCAGTGAGGATTTTGGGTCTTGAAGTAGGGTGGATTGTGAGATTCCATATCGATTAAAAAGAAGAATAAGTGTCAACGAAGATATTGGGCCTTGAAGAGGGGTGGGTTGTGA